ATCGGTCCAAGTATACAATCCATCCGGGCAGCAGCAAGATGTATCAAGACCTAAAAGGAACTTATTGGTGGGACAATATGAAGAAGGAAATCGCTCAATACGTGCAGAAATGTCTCATTTGCCAGCAAGTGAAGGCAGAGCATCAAAAACCATCGGGTCTGTTACAACCCTTGGAGATACCCGAGTGGAAGTGGAAAAACATCACCATGGACTTCGTTTCAGGTTTACCGAGGACGCAAAGAGGACACGATGCCGTTTGGGTGATCGTTGATCGATTAACCAAGTCGGCCCATTTCTTGCCGGTGAACATGAAGTATTTAATGGACAAGTTGGCTCGACTGTACATGGATGAAGTTGTAAGACTACACGGTGTTCCTGTGAGCATCGTTTCCGATCGGGATCCACGGTTTGTATCACGATTTTGGCAGAAGTTTCAAGAAACCCTGGGGACGAAACTCAATTTGAGCACGACCTATCATCCTCAGACGGATGGCCAGTCAGAACGGACTATTCAAACTCTCGAGGACATGCTACGAACTTGCATTCTGGATTTTGGAGGCAACTGGGGTCAGCACATGACCTTAGTCGAATTTGCATATAACAATAGCTTCCATTCGTCGATTCAAATGGCCCCGTACGAAGCTCTCTACGGACGCAAGTGCCGGTCACCGATTTACTGGGATGAAGTTGGTGAAAAGAAAGCACTAGACCCGGCAACTATTCCATGGATGGAAGAGGCTCACGAGAAGGTCAAGTTGATACGGCAACGACTTCAAACAGCTCAGAGTCGACAAAAGAGCTATGCGGATAATTGAAGGAAAGACTTGGAGTTTGAGGTTGGAGACCACGTGTTTCTTAAAATTACACCCTTACGAAGTCTTACAGCGGGTAAAGGAAAGAAGCTTCAACCGCGGTACGTCGGACCCTACAAGATCCTTCAGAGGGTTGGAGCGGTCGCGTATCAATTGGAACTGCCACCCAGTCTATCTCGAATCCATGATGTATTTCACGTCTCGATGCTAAAGAAGTATCATCCAGACCCATCCCATGTATTGCAACCGGAAGAGATTGAAGTGGACGAATCACTGGCCTATGAAGAGAAACCGGTCCAAGTGCTCGATCGAAAAGTCAAAGAGCTCAGAAACAAGCGGATTCCACTAGTGAAAGTGCTATGGAGAAACCACGGAGTAGAGGAAGCTACCTGGGAAGTGGAAGAGGAAATGCGAAAGAAGTATCCAAACCTTTTCGGGAATTAAGGTGAGAAATTTCGAGAACGAAATTCTTTTAAGGGGGGGAGAGTGTGAGAACCCGTAAAACCCTAATATTTTTCCTAGGGTTTATTACCCCTTAATTGCATAATTTTTGCATTTTATGGCTTAGAAATATTTTTCTGGTAGATTTTATGAGTAATTATTGTTTTTAGATGATTTTTCTAGTATTGGAGAATTTTTAGAAAATTAAGAATATATATTGGACGTGGGACCCACTAGTGCGAAAAGTTCGGAAAAATTCGGCCAATAAGGTTAAGTTTCGGATACTGTGTAAAATTTATCGGGTGTTAAGAGATAAGTAGAATGTGTGAAGTGATTGATGTGAGAGGGAAAAGAAAGATAAGAATGCATTAATGAGTGTGACAAGTGTCACAATATGATTGGTTGGACTTTATGGTTTACTATTCACTTTCTTGACTTTTTTTGACCAAAGTATTAAATATCAAAAAATGCACAAAATTCACCATTTTCTTCTCCATGGTGGCCGGATCTCCCTAGCTCAAGAAGGAAGGAATTTCTTCAACTCTCAGGCTTCCATCTCACTCAATCTTCCACAAACAAGAGCTTAGACTAGATTTCACTCCATAAAAACCTTTCTTCTAGTGCTAATAAGTGTATTAGTGAAGTTGATTTGAAGAGCTAAGGTGTCCACAATCCCTATCTCTCTTGATTTCTTGGTAAGTGATGCTTGAACACCCTACTACATCTAATGATGCTTATGTTTGGCTTAGAAGTGGCTAAAGTGGTGGATTATATGATTTATTTCTTGGTTTGGCTTGATTTGGTGAAGTTTTTAATTTTATGATGAATTTTCTGGTTTAATATGAAATGGATGTTGTAGCCATCTTTGATGATTGGCAATGGACTATAATGACTCTAGTAGGTGTGAATTGTGGATAAATGCAACCAATTTTGGATTTGAAGTGAATTGTGAAAAGTTAGGGTTCATAATCCCCTAATTCTGTCCGGTTTTAGATCATAGGGTTAGAGGCCGAATTGGACTTTGCTCAAAACATGAAAGTTGTAGGTATTGATGTGTTTGAGGTGCCTGCAAAATTTCAGGTCATTTGGATTAGTGTAGAGTGAGTTATGTCGGAATTACTGTAGCTGTTCTGCTTTGGTCAGAATGCGAAAACTGCGTTGGTATTTGGCTATTTTGACTGGAATTGGTTTGGATTTTGAAGTTGGTGTCTTCTGATGAAATGTAGCTGGATGTCTTAGCTAACATATGCCTTTGGAATTTCGGCATTTGGACTTGTATAGACTGCGTTATAGTAATTATAGTTTTGTGTGATTTGCAAACCTGTTTTGGGAATTCTGGTATAGTATTTTGCATATTTGACCTAGTTGTGTTAGGAACTGGATTGAGTGACCTTCTACATTGTTGTAGCTCTGTTTCTTGGCTTCGAAATGGTGGGTCTTACACCCCCATCCGATAATTGTAGTGAGAGTTGTGCCATTACCGCATTATGAGGTCAAATCCGGTTTTATTATCAAGGCTTAAGTTAAAGCCCTCTCTTAATTCTGGTTTGCTATCATGCTTGTATATGTTTATAAAACCCTATTGGGGTTGTGAATTGGTGTTGTTTATGGCTCGGTATGGAGTCTTATTATATGTGTTGCATGTTCTAGGGCGTGACGGTAGCTCACGACGTCTTGGTGATCGTGGTGCATGAAACACCATTTACTTGGTTGGTGAGTATACTACTCACTTATTTGTTACAATATGACTTCGTGCTATGTGAATTGTTGCCTTGAAGGCTTATTTGGTTATTGGAAATGATTGAGGTGGGGGTGTACTTGACCGCCCTCACCCCTTGTAATTTCCTTTATAGCTATTTACCGTTTTACTGAAATACTGCATTTGTTATATGAGATACTGAATTCCATGTATGGAAACTGCTTTGGTGTCGTTTGGACGAATGTCCAACGGCCTTACTGTATTACTGAGCTCAACCTCGTTTGGTAGTCAATTGGATCGAGCCGGCGACGGCTTGGTCGTGAAAATTGTCATGCCACGGGGACTGTACTGAGGAACCTTGTAGTAATGAGACTCTTGGTTCCGGTATACTCGAGTATTACCAAAATGACTGAATGGAGTGCGGGCCCGGTTGGGGTATGTTGGGTGGAAGGAATGGAAGTAAAGAGTTGTCTACGGTTGGTTATTCTTTTAACATTGACGGAGGGTCAATGAGGTTGGGTCAAGAATATAAGCGAGGAAATGGGCTCTTGAGAGCCGACCGTATCCTTTCACTGATTTGCTTTACTTCGGAATTGCATACTTGAATTGAATGGTTATGCTTCTGTGATCTTAACTACTATTGTGATAGTTGCTCACTGGGCTTTAGCTCATTCCGTGTCATTTGTTTTCCTTACAGGAAAATGAAACTTTTGGAAAAGATTGTGATAGTTGGATGACAAGTTGAGCTCTTGTACATGTATTTTTGAATAGCTCCTTGAGGGTAAAAAAAACCCTAAGTGTTTTGTTTCCACCAATGTATGGTGTGTAAATGGCTTTTGGTACCTGTATGAACTAGACGAATATCTTGGTTTGCCGTTTGGCTTGTAAATGTTGATTTCCAATGTATATATATGCTTGGCCGTGGTTTGGATAAATTTCGGCTTCGATTTTCGTTTTTTTTATTTTGTGATTTTGACTTGTTTGCGCGCAATGGTAAGTTCCGGAACGTTATAGATTGACGTAAACTGTACCGTTAGTCCTGGCGAGAGCTGGGCAGGCAGTCCGCTAACCCCTTTGGTTCGCCTTAGGGGAAGGTGGGGCTGTCACAGTGTAGAATGAAGTCACAAATTAATATATATGGCCACAAGCATCTGTAAATTAATCAAAATAAAAGCCAACCAAAAATATTGGGTCCCAAATCCCACATAATCAGTTCAGGCACTAATGGTCAATACATATCCTTCCCAAAAAAATTGAGTACTACATTTCTTAACTAAAGCATAGATTGCACCACTAATGTTAGACTTCAACCATCTCTATCATCATATCCAACAGCCTCCTCATGATTAATATCAAATTAGATTTCATCGAAAATAAAGTATTATGTGCATTAGAATAGACTTTATTCTGAAAATAAGCTATTACAACCTTACACAACTAAATTGAATGAATAATCATACACAACAAGACTCCAACTACTGTCAACTTGATAAGAAGTAAAAGAATCAGTCAAAATAGAGTTTTAGCTAAAATAAAGAGAATATCATCAATTACTTCCAATAGCTTATTTGTTTGACATATTTGCATAGCTAGCAAATTTGGAATATAAGCGATAGCATAAACTGTCTTAAGTAACTCTTTCATTTGGGCAATCAAATCCTCATATAGCTCTCATGTTTCAAGTTGCTACTTCTGCAAGTTCTTAATCAGCTTGGAGTAAAACTGGTTGCCTGGATAGAGCTCTTTTTTTTCCATCTTCCAACAATCATATGTAGGTATCAGTTTCACTTTCATTCATATACTTGAGTTTTTAATCATCCTCAAAAACACACATCACCAGGAAGGAGATGCAAAATATCTTACACCAGAATTTACCTTTTACGAGATTTGACAGACCATTTTCCTTCAAACTTCTTGAAATCACCATCAACCATGGAAAACTGGAGTTCACGGTCATTTTCCTGAATAAATTTCATTTGCAAATAGTTAAAAACTGAGATAAAGTTATCACGTAAGAATACCTAGTTACTGCTACCTACTCTATCAGAATGAAAATGTAGTTTAACATCTCACATTATATTACTTGCAATAACTGCTTTGTTGTCTTTGCCTTTTGTAATCTCATAAAGGTTTAACAAATCACGTATCACCATCACAAGAAATCTGTTTTCCTGTCACAGTTGATGCAAAAAATAAAAGTAAGAAAATGGTGAAAAAGAAAAAGAACCACAAAACTGAAAGCAATCCAAACGCAAGGTCTCATTCTGAGTAGAGAGAAGCCAGAAAATAGTCACTCAGCGAAGAAAGACTAAAAAATAGGAAAAATATACAGCATAAAGCAATACACCTGTTCCTCCATCATTGATCTTGATATAGATCCTATTGCCCATCACAAGGTATTTAGGTTGTTCCACGTCCAATCCTCACTATTCAGCTGTTTAGTTAACTTCCTCAGCATCTGTTAACAAGATTCATCATACATGTCAACACCATTTTTTTTAAAAATTTTACATGTCAACTCCTTGAACAAATATAGAAGAAAATCATAATAACTATAGCAGTTTTGACAAGAAAAGATTTGAGCCCCATCATTCATTTATAACCCAGGCCAACAAAATTAATGAGAACCATAGGCAGCCACCACAAATTGCAAAAGAATGTTACACATAATGGATACGAGCTAACAGAATGCCATTTAGGAGCATAATTGGTAGCCAATTGTATTAGATTCAAAGTAATAAAACAACTTAGGAGCACTGTTGCATATGCAGAATGCTAATACACATCATGTCCATTAATTTCAAGTCCCAATCAATCCTCTAAAGAGTCGATGCACACAACTTGTGCTTTCATGGAAACTATCTTTTTTGCAAAGAGTGGTCAACACGGGATTTGCAATAGATATAACATAAGAATCTCTAGGTTGCCATAGACTTAACCACTTAACAACAACACAAGAAGAATAAACCCAAACTATCTTAATAACAATGCAAGAAGAGTAAAACCAAACTATTTTAACAATCAAGGCATGGAAATTAAGATGCCAGAAGACTGCATGCAATGAATACCTGCTTTTCAGTGTCTTCATGATCCGGATGTGATAAGTATATCAAGGTTTCTCACATGATCTGTAATATCAAACTTCATCAAATATTGCAGCATCGACATCGTCAGGGAACTTATAGACATCAAAAAATCAAGGCAGGGGAACTTAGCGATCAAAAATTGCAGCATCGACGTCATAAGGGAACTTATAGACATCAACAAAACAAGGCAGGGGAACTTAGAGCTTAGTGTAAATTTCCTGTTTCAACAGGTTAGTTGTTAGGCAGGAGCAAACGAAAGCAAGAAGATCATTTTCTTACTTATTCTATGAATAGAATGTTGAGAAAACATAGCATATAATAAGTTCAACTCCAAAGCCTGCAATCAAAACTATTTCCTCCCATGGAAACACACAGGCACATCATATTCTGGTAAGATAAACAAGTAGAAGAATGCACATGCACTTCAACATAAATTTGCAGGTCAATAATCAATACCAAACAAGGGCATCGAATTCACCACTTGCTTAAGAACAAAGGCACCCCAGATAACCATTAGCAGCAATATCTGGATACTCTCTGAGTTATATTATTGTTGATTCCATCATTGCTTTCACCTTTTGTGCAAATAAGAGCATTTATGTCAATTAACTAGTAGTTGGTCTTCTACCTTCACCTAGAAAGATTACCATACAACTAAGCATATTGAGCCACAACAATTTCAACTGAAAGTTCTCAAATGGGGGCAAAAAGAGCGGAAGGAAGTACAGTAACATTTGAAAAAATCTTCTTTGCCTTTAAAAATAGTGGAAATACCAGTTTTGCCCATGCCTTTCTTTTAACTTCTTAACTAAGGGAAGGTCCAAATGAATCTATTTTCTTAGCGGCATTGCTTGTCAGGAAACGAAGATGGATATGATAGTAACTCTTTTGTTATTAGAATTTCTTCTGCATAATATCAGTAACAAAAGGACAGACTGTAGAAGGATAGGACAGCTCTATAATCTAATACATCATAATTAATATCATGGATATCCTTGAATGGTCAAAATGTTTTTCAAGATCCCTCAGGCACCATTCTCAAAGAACTGCGCCAGTTACCTTAAAGTGTTGATGTATATTTTCGCCCTTACCCTACTCATATCTTTGTCAAAGTTAAATAGTTAAATGTTCTTCACTTGAAGAAAGTTTCTATGTAACAGATGCAAAAGAAATTTGCAGCTCAAATAGCAGCTTGACAAATACAATTAATATCTTAAGATTATAGAAATGCTTTAATATCTAAAGTTTACCAGATGACTGCTTTAATCCTCTATCAAATGACCCGTAAATCTCATCTAATTTCTCAAATGCTGATTTCGTCCAAACAATAAATCTCTCAACGTGACCTTCCGGGGCAAGTTTCAACAAATTCAAATGGCCACATCGACTCTAGGAATGTTACGAAAGGCCATCACGAGCTTAGTCCCTTCAGTACCATACACAACCAAAGGACTTTCCTGCAGATGTAGCAGTGGTTACACATCTTACCCTTTCCTGGGCGGATATCCTGGCTGTCTTTAGCCTTCTCACTTGAGAAGACTAATAGCGATGGAGGTTTTCTCTATGGCCTCAGCAGAATCGGAGATCACACAGGGGATTTGTAGGATAGACTTGATGCGGTGGCCGCGGGCCATGACAAGGGAAGGAACTGCAGAGGCGGCGATGGCAGAAACCACGACATACCATTTCTTGTTGACTGGGACCTATGGTGCCAACGGTGCCAGATCTTGGTCGGAGCAAACATGCGGCCGCGGCGGCACAGGTTGTGTGAAGACCCGAAATTTTCTTTATTTTATTTTATTTTACTGGCTTAATTAATTATTTAATTCGACTATTTAAAATCCATTTATATGGAAAAATGCCTCTCTTATGTTTTTAAAGCGTTTTGTTAGAAAAGTTACTTTTCGAAAACTCGTTTAGTTCAGAACAACGAGTACACATTTTTCAAAACTATATTTGAATTGAGAGTGTATTAATTTTAAAAAAAATAAGAATAATCAATAGTAGATTAAGAAAAGTCGTGAGGACTCGAAAAGAATTTATTTATTTTAAACTCCTATTACAAGTTTATTTAAATATTTAATTACCTGTTTGCCCCGAATATTATTTTCTAACCTTTTTAGACCCAATTACATGGAACTATGACTTTCATGTATTTTTAAAATGACTTGTTATGGAAATTAATTTTTGGAAGCTCGTTTAGTGAGAATAGTGAATACACGTTTTCGAGACAGCGATCGATTTGCGATACAGTGAGTTTGAAAAATTGGAGACTTATACATCAGTCTTAAAAATAGGTATTTTTATGTTTAAGTACTCAATTATTAGTAGTAGTACTATCATTATCAGAATTTCTTAGAGGTTTCGCCGTAGCGCGTATAAATAAAAAATTCACATATATCGAGTCGGAGAGGTTAATTGGAGAATTAAGGAATTTATTCTAGACTATTAAGAGTGAATAATAATAGTATGAATACAAGTGCATTGGAGGTTTAGTGCATAAGTGAAACAAATTCGAGAGGAATCGAGCACGAAACCGCGCGCGTGCATGCCAGAAAAAGAGTTGACCTTTGAATCAATGAGAGCCACACATTTTAGTTTCACATGGGAGCATCACACTAGATTAAAACCGTCCATATACTAACCTCAATTGCCACCTCTTTTGCTTCCATTCCAGCTGTACAACACCAAGAGAAAGAGACCAAAGTTCCTTCTTCATTTCACCTCTCAAACTTGCACCAAATCACTTGAAATTTCTACCACAAGCTCAAAACTACTTGGAGATTCACTTAGGCAAGGAGAAGAACTACATTTCCATGGTTTCTTGGAGTTTTCTTGTGGCAAAAAAATCTGACCTTTATCATCTAAGAAGGTATATGACGATCAAGCTCTCAAATCTTAGTTCATGGAAGTTATATTGCACTTATAAGTTCATATATTCATGTGGGTAGCTTTATTTATGTTGGATTTTGTGTGTGGCTCTATGAACTCCCACAATGACTTGAGGACTGATTTCATGAGTTTTGATGTTATTAATGTTGGTTTAGCTACTTAAAATAGTGGAAATAATTTGTATTGATGAAAGGAAACTCAAAGGAGGTGAAGAGCAAAAATATTCCGATTATGCCCTTATGAATTTCGTGCACTTTAGTGCAAGTTTTTGAGGTTCTAATGACTTTTTTATGATGTATACATGTTATATGAGTTGTGTAGAAAGTTTCATTGAAAATAACATGATTTGGTTGATCAAATGTGTTGATTTCGAAAGTATGGCAGAACTGGAAAATTTTCGCGGATTGCCCAGGCAGTCCTGTTGTTTCGGCTATAACTTTTTACTCCGATGTCGAAATCGAGTGCCGTTTGTGGCACTGGAAACTAGATATTTCCAGCTTTCTACTGGTATAATACACATCCTGGTTCCACTTGTGTGAACCAAACCATTCATTTGAAGTTTGCTGTCCTGTTTCGTTGGTTTACTACAGGGCAAACATGAACTACAAATTGATGCTCAAATGTGGGCTAGTTGTAGATGGATTTTGAAAATGGTTTCTTTTGAGAAATTGTAACTTTATGAATGTGTTTCCAACACTACCAACCATGCTCAATTCTAAGTTAAATTGAGTGAGTTGTGACCAAAGTTTGAAACTGACTCAATGAGGAAATTCCTCATTTTGGACTAAATCTTTAACTAATCTTGGTTTGGGACTTGTACTCGAAATTCTTGGTGTTAATCACACAAATTTTGTTTTAGATGCCTCTTAGACATTTTCTATGCTGATGGACCGTGTTTGAGGTACTTTATAAGCTAAACATTTGAAAAACGGAAAACGGAACTCACAAGGCAGATTTGCCTTGGAATTTTTTGGAACTTTGTGTTTTGGTTAATCAACTTCCCATACTTATTTATCCATGAAATTTTTTCAGAAAAATAGTCCTTATATGGTAATATTATACTGCAAATTTTGGTGCCATTCCGAGTTCATTTTCTTGATCAACTAAACTTCCAAAGTTCATGATTTGATTTTGGAAAACCCTTGTTTAACAAGGAAATTTGGGTAACTTTGAGCTACCATATCTTGGTGCTCAAAGCTTCAATTCTCGTTCCACTTGTTCCATTTTAAACTTGGATTACAACTCTAATAGAGTTCCAAATTTCAGAAGCTAATCCCAATTCTGTGAATTTTTCCGAATTTTCAAAGTTGGCAAAAAAACCAACCCCGGAACTGCCTCGATAGTCTAGAACAAAAACTTTGAGCTGAATTTTGAATACCTCCCATTTGGAATCATGGAAAAGTGTCTTCTAGAAACTTTTAGTGCTTTGGAAGTAGTTTCCAACGGTACCAAGTTTTCCAATTTTGAACTTATAGAGAATGAGATCTGATTTTTCAAAGTTTGCTTGCCGAATCTGAAATTTCCAAACTTAAAGGAAATTGGGGTTTCAAACTCTCCATTTTCCTCCGATATTGCTAGACCATTTTACACTTGATTTCAAAAGCGAAAATTAGATTTCTCTTGTGTTTTTGAAACCCACTTCCGAGCCTCGATTATAAATAATTAAGGCTCAATTCATGAATTCTCCTTAGAATGAACACTAGTACAACCTTCTCGAAGTAAGGAATTTTAAGCGATAGTGTGTAATAGACAACTATTGTTTGCTCAGGTGCTCAAGGAGACCTTCAAGAGGATCTCAAGGGGAACACCTAAAGGCTTATTTACACACTTACTCTCTTGTTTCAATAGGTGAGTGTTCCATATAGAAGTACGTAATTTGAATAAGTCTATGACATGCTTATTCCATGATCATTAAGTGTTAAGTGCTACATGTTAAGTATTTAACACACTCATGCATATTTAAGTAAGGTATACTTCGACATGAAATACTTGATTTGCATATTTATGTAATGTGTTTAAATGATTAAATATGCTATGGCTGCATAAGTCGGTTGGAGTGAATCCCCTCGACTCTTAAATGGTAAAAGGGAGAAACGGCCAATGGCAGCCTATTAA